TTCCTGCTCCTCTGATGCTGCTTGGCCTGCTGTGTTCATCCAGCTCTACACCTTGTTACCTCAGATTCTCCAGCATCTGCAGTTCCTACTATCTCTGATAAAATGGTGGCTTTGTTACTTGACTAGTAAAGCACAGCTTAGACCAGAGAATGAGTTCAAATCTCACCACAGCTGCTTGAGAATTTGAATTAAATTTAGAAAAAAAGGGAATTAAAACCCTAATTTGGTTCACTAATTCCTTCCATACCTGCTGTCTTTATCAGTCTGGCTGATGGGTGACTCCCATTCTAGTATCTTAACTGCTTAGTTGTATTAAATTAGTTGTCCAGAGTGTTCTATCCCAGAAAGCCAGTTTGACATCAGGATTATCATTCATCAATCTTTGCTCTGTCTTAATGTTTACTTCTAGGCTGAAACATTACAAGCAAGCATCTCCTAACTCAACCCTGTACACAGGTGAAACTCTAAACATGCCTAACATCTGCTTACAATTAATACATGATTATGACAGAGTAATTATGGATGGGCAATAAATGCAAACTTGCTTGTCCATGATGCCCCTAACCAAACAGTTATTTTATTTTCAAAACATTGCTTAAATCTCCAGGAGAACTGCTAAAGATATTAAGTGTCTTGGTACATTCCTCACAGTTCAATATGTGAATCTTCTATTTCAGCTGATGTTTAGTTAAAATTTCACTTAGTGTTCAACTCTCACCTGAAATTACTGCCCAGTGAGCTTTATGCCCTTTGCGCAGACAGGGCTCATGATTGAAGTCTTCATCATACCTTCTTTTAGTTAAGGATTTTCCCCAATTAATTGTCCCAAGCTGGCTGAGGCCAACTACGGCATATCAACTGCTGCCTCAGGTAACTCAGCACAGATCAATAATTTAACTTTTTATGGCCTGTCTGACTTTAGTACATTTGAGTTTTCCTATTAAAGCATTAGGGGAGCCTGCAAGTGTGGGATAGAATCATACAGATCAGGATGATCCTAAGATCCATTCCCAATCTGTTCTGTTCTAGCTCAAACACTATTTATGATTACAAATAGCTTTGATGCTTGGGTGATAGAGAGGAAATATCAGTCAGGGTTCCTTTTATTGATCCCTGCCCAATGAACTCTAAACTAATAAAGAGTAGAATCAGCAAAGATTCCTACCTCTGATCACCATTAAATCACCCCTGGGTAAGAGACTGAGGGAAATATCAACCAGAGTTCCAGCTCCTGACCACTATCTAGTGATCCCTGTGTTAGAGAAAGGGTAAATCATACAGAGTCCCAGCTCCCGTTCACTGTCCAGTCTAGGAAAGTGCACAGCTGGAGGCAATAGGTAAGGCCAAGGTCACAAACAGCAAACATGCATAATACATGTAAAATGGCTATTGGGTGGGAAATGGGAGAACAGCCAGTGCCTATAACTATTTTCAACCCCTTAGCTTCCTTATAGATGGAAGCTCGGACCAGAAGCAGGTTCCTCTATCCTGGATGGTCTTGTAACCCTGCACGTATATCTAACCAAAGGTGACTGATTTGCAGCCTGAGCCTGTACAGGAAGTGGCTATCTCGAATCTCAATGTAATTAGTTATTGTAAGGATACGGTACTAATACAGGATAACCAGCAAAGAGATGCTGCATTATTCTGGCTTTGTTAGTTCCCATTAAGCCATTATTGAGGAGATCAGCATGACACTGGAAAACTTCCTCGGCCAGTTTCACCATGTTTGCACCTGGAATCAGATAGACAAAAATAAATCACACAGGTATTTATTTATTGCACAACCTTGCAAAACAATTTACAGACAATTAAATATTTTTGAAATATAGTCCATGTTGTAATATAGGAAACTTGGTAGCTAATTTGAATACAGCAAGGCCCACAAGCATCAATACATGATAGTTTGTTTCAGTGATAATGGTTGAGGAGCGAGTATTGTCCAGGATAATGGGTAGCACTCCTGGTCTTTTTGCATAATTAATGCCTTGGAATCTTTTACATCTGCCAGAGACAGTAGTCAGGTCGTTGTCCTGAAGGGTCAAAGGAAAGATGGCATCTCTGACAGTGTAGCACTCCCTTTGTACTGCACTAATTTTGTGCTTAAAACTCTGGAATAGAACCTGAACCCACATCCTTCTGACTTAAGTAAGAGTATCCATTGAGCCACAACTGACCCTGAAAGTGAGAAGACTGAAACAGACAATAGAGAAGGGAAGAGAACACAGACCAACAGGAGGAGCAAAGTCTGGAGATATCTCACTATGATACATTATAAGATACCTGAAAACATCTCTCCCTGAGCAGTATACCCTCTGGCCTTCGCACAGTCCACTATCTCCTTCAGACCCTGTACCTCACACATGTTCAGCAAATGTCCGGCCATCCACAGAGCCACCAGTCCACACCTGAAGCACAAGAAAATACAAGGAGCAGTGGTGACTGAGAAAGCGATTGCAGTTTACAGGCAGGAGAAAGGTCCACAGCACGGGGCTTAATGGAATCTCACGTGCAGGCATGAGACGAATGGCAGTCAATCTGCTTTGGGAATTAGTTGAAGGCTGAATATTGGCTAGGACACTGGGAAAACGTGCCCACACTTGGCAGACTATGGAAGACAGCATTTATAGGTGAGAGAAAAACAGAAAAACTACCAGTGTTCTGATGAAAGGTCATTGAACAGAAACATTAAATCTGTTCCACCAGAGATGATGCCAGACATTGCCAACATTTTCTATTTCATAGAATCCCTACAGTGTGGAAACAGGCTATTCAGCCCAACAAGTCCACACAGACCCTCTGAAGAGCACTCCACCCAGGCCCATTCCCTCTACCCTGTCTCTGTAATCCTGCATTTCCTGTGGTTAATCCACCTAGCCTGGGTATCCCTGAACACAATGGGCAATTTAGCATGGCCAATCCACCTAACCTGCACATTTCTGGACTGTGGAAGGAAACTGGAGCACCCGGCAGGAACCCATGTAGACACGGGGAGAATGTGCAAACTCCAGTTGCCTTAGGATAGAATCGAACCTGTGTCCCTGGCACTGTGTGGCAGCAGTGCTAACCACTGAGCCTCTGTGTCCCCCATTTCTGCCAGTATGCACCAATGTAGAGAAATCAGAATTAGATACTTACTGTGGACCATCCTGGATCAGCGAGGGTACGTATTTATTAATAAGGAGCCATTGCAAATCTTTTTTGAAACTGGAAATATAAGAAAATCAGAAAAATTTTCAGCCATTGGAAAAGAATCTATCACTTGATAGAACACTTGGGCTCTGATGTTAAACTGCAATAGTACATGGGGGTGCACTGTTAACCTATAATAACACATAAAGGATGCATTGCTTTGTCTGTAATAGTGCAGTAACTTGGCCAAGCCATTAACCTCGCACAGTATACAGAGTGTTACAACCAAGGGTGCATCAATTTCCCTTTAGTCCCACTCCTCCACTGGTCATAATGAATTTTAAATTTAATCTGTGTGGTGATATGGCCAATTCAATAGGCTTTACATTGTATCTGGCTTAGTGTTAGAAATAATTCAGCCAGTTTCTTAAGTTAACAATTAATACCTAGTTTATTACAAATAAACTTACTCGGACAAAGGTGTAGATGTAAACATCAAATGTGATTGAGACAGATCCCATGGATTACTCAGCAACCACCTACCCACCCCTCCCCGCTCCCAGGATGTCACTGACACTGTGAGTCACTGAGTCTCATTTTAAGACTGTTCACTGTTGAAGAACTGGCCTTTAAAATACATCAAAACCAATCCATCATGCATTGCCTCAATGATTGCTCATTTTCTGGTGGCTCACCATCTGTTCCTGGAGCGACACTCCCCTGGATTCGGGAAACCACACTCCAGCATCGTCACAGGTGCAAATGCACCTTTTCTAGTAGACAGCTAGCTTTATCAAGCTACTACTGCCCTGGATTTATTTTTCCTGAGCTCTAACATTGGTCAGTTGTACAAAGTGTTACTTGAGGATTTCCATAACCTTGCTCACAACTGTATTGAAATATTAACGGCACGTGGCTTTTTCCAAGCTCTCTCAGCTCCTAGGACTTACCTGAAGACCAAACTCCAACACATAGCTGTACCGACAATCCTAGAACTTCTTCCTGAGTTCTGACCGCATAGAGTTATTCGACTGTGTTTGACTTCTCAGAGATGTTCTTAGGAAGTCATACTACACTTGAAATGTTAACTGTGTCTCTCTACAGATTATAGAATCCCTAGTGTGGATGCAGGCCATTCGGCCAATTGAGGCCACACCAATCCTTCAAAGATGCAGTTGTTCGTTAGCTTGCGGAAGGAAGCAGAACACCAACGCTTCGATTAGAAATCACATTGACGATATTGCCTAGAAGGGTAACAAAATGTCTGCACACCACAGAACAACCAGCTCAGCAAGCTAACGAACAACTGCATCCATGACCCGAACTACAAATTTTCGCTAAGACCTTAAAAACCCTTTAAAGAGCATCCCACCCAGACCTCCCCTATCCCTGCATTTCCCATAGCTAATCCATGTCTGGACACTATGGGCAATTTAGCATGGCCAATCCATCTAAACTGCATGTCTTTGGACTGTGGGAGGAAACCGGAAACCCACGCAGACACGGGGAGAATATGCAAACTCCAGACTGTCACCCAAGGCTAGGATCGAATCCGGGTCCCTGGCACTGTGAGGCCACCATGCCACCCACATGCTGCCAGAGCTGCTAGGTTTCTCCAGCACTTTTTGTGTTTGTTTCAGATTTCCAGCATCTCCAGAATCTCGCTTTTATTTAAATAACTGTGACAAACTTGGCTCATAATTTTTAGGATTATATACCTGTTAGGTCTGCTCTGGACCAGCATCTTCACCTCTTTCCGGTCTCCAGTTACTGGTAATCGGTCTTGAGCAAGAATCTGGTATAATTTATTTCGTGATGGTTCAGAAGGAGGGGACAGAAAGGGTGGAGGGAGGGGAGGAGGAGGAGGGACTGACAAATATTCTGCACCATCAGATGTGTCACTGATGAGATTTTGCTCTCGTTCTTGTGCCATTTCAAGGTGAAGGAGGTTGGACATGGCAGCCCACTATTAACTTTCAGCTTTGACTTGATAAATTGGAGCATCCCACAACAATTTTTACGAGTAAGTTGCCTCAGTAACTAGTACATCAAGGGTCAGAGACACTGTTATAATATTTGCCTTGGGGAAAAAAAAATCATTATCATTTATCACTTATCATTCCAGAAAATATTTGTCTTGTATATTTAATGGGGGAGCTAGGGGCAGGAGATGGGGTAAGTGGTGGAGGATTTGGGAAAGTAGTCTGGGTGGGAGCAATGAAGACTCCATGTTGAGGGAGAAGGTGGGCATGGAATAACTGTGCATGACATTCAACTATTTAAGAAAAACGATGTAAGGTCCATCAGGAAATCACAGACCCATTACTATCTGCTGTCAATAAATTGCCTGAGTCCACAAATTCAAAATTACTGAGGATGAGAGGGAGCCAGCACAGATTTATAAAGGGTTGGATAGCAGGGGATGGTGATAGTTGCAACAAGGACTGGATTTGCAGAAAAGAAATCAACACAGAAGAGTGGTTGGGGGCTGGGTCATTTGAGGTAGGACTGGTATGGGATGCAGGGTAATTTAGGGATGAAGTAATTAGGGAATGGGATGGCTGGATGGAGAAACAGTAGTTAGGGAAGGGGTTGATTAGGGAAGGGCAGGGAAAATGAGATCATTTGAGGGATGGAATAGTTGTGGAGGGGTGAGGCAGGGGTAGTTTGAGGAGGTGTTGGGGACAGGGTGGGAAGATTGGGGTTGTATAGTTAGGTAGAGTGGAGTGATTAGAGTATTGTGGAGAGGAACAGTGCAGTTTGGGGTGAGGTGAGATTTTTGATGTGGGATTGGATTGTGCAGTTTGGGGAGGGGTGGAATGGTTGGAGCAGTTTGGGAAGTAATTGAGGGATGGGATAGTTGGTAAGGTGGCTTTTGGGGTGAGATTGGAGTTGGATAGCTGGGGAGGGGTGGGGTGGTTGGAGTAAGTTGGGGTAGTTTGGGGAGCGATTGGTGATGGGGTAGGTGGGGTGAGATGGTTTTTGGGGATCAGAGTTGGGGAGAGGGAGGTGATTGAAGTGGGTTGGGGTTATTTGAGGTGTTTGGTAGTGTGGGATAGGATGGATGCAAGTGTGTGTGGGGTATTTGGGGGGGGTATTTAGGAAAGTGGAGAATGGGGAATTACTGAACATGTTCTAGAAAATTCCGTCCCTGAATCCCACTCTACATCCCATGATTGGCCACGGTGGAATGGCCCATTTGATTGACACCGGTCTAGTCCAATCAGTTCTCTCCGAGCGGGTCGGTGCTGTTGAATGGACCCAGATCGTTAGGGAGTCACTGATTCCCCTCTTCCTCTCTTTCCTTATCTCCCTCCCTCTCACCCTCTCTTTCTCTATCTCTGTCCCTCTCTCCTTTCTCACTCCCGCCCCGAGCTGGGGAAACCATCCGGGTCCCGGGAGACACCAGCTCTCCCGCCTCCGTCTGATTGACGGAGCCGCGGACAAATCGGTGAGCGGCCCCTCACCACGATCGGCCAATGGGAGCTGGCCGCGGGGTGAGGGGGTTGGACTTCCGGCGCGGCGCGCGGTGCTGGCGGTTAGGGCCCGCGACCATCCGCTGCCATCGCTCAGCGTTTAGAGCCGGTGGCAGCCCGCAGTTAGCCTGATCATCTCTGTCTGCGGGAGCTCACATCGCGCCGCACAGCCGGTTCTTTAGAGCCACGATCTCACCAGGTTCGTACGGAGCAGCCTGCGGAGGAACCGCGGGTTAGAGGTTCCGCCGACGGGCGGTAGCTTCCGGTTCAGGGCCGGTGGAGGTAAAGAGAGGGCGGAGGAAGGGGTGAGAGGGATAGAGTAGGGAAGGGGTAAAGAGAGAAGGGTGGTAAGGCAAAAGGGAGGGCTGAGTGGGTACGGGATTGTGAGGGAGGTTGAGTTGATGGGTGGGCGTCTAAGGATACAGGATATGCCGTAGGAGACTGAGATGAGGAGAAATTTCTCCACCCAGAGACTGGTGCTACTGTGGTTTTCTCTGGTACAGAAAACAGTTGAGGCCAAAATACTGTATGTTTCAAGAAGGAGTTGGATTTGGTAATTTGGGCTAAAGGGATCAAAGGACATGGGGAGGGAAAGGCAGGGTCGTAGAGTTTGATGATCGGATGTGGTTGTAGTGGATGGTGGGGCAGGCTTGAAGGGCCGAATGGCCTACTCCTCCTGTTTTCTATGTTTGTACATAGAGGGGGCTGTCTGAGCTCTCAGAAAGAGAGCGGGTGGGCTGACCTTTCCCTCAGAGGTGGGGGAGAGAAAGGGCTGCCTTCCTTCTCAGAGAGACGGGGTGAGCTGCTCTCCTTGGATGAAGGATGTGAGAGAAGAGAGACAACAAGGTGCAGGGCTGGATGAACACAGCAGGCCAAGCAGCA